TTTTTTTTTGGGCTGGGGCTGGGTTTGAACCTGCCACCTCCAGCATATGGGGCCAGTGCCCTACCCTTTTGAGCCACAGGTGCCACCCACTATTCTCATCTCTTACTCATAAAGAATCTCTGCTATCAGATTAGACCTGGAGCTTTTTATATTTTGTTTTATTTTTCCAGTTTGACAAGTGGACAGACTCTCAAAGGAGAAGAATCCTCACAGGCCTGTTGGAACGCTGCTCCCTGTCACAGCAAAAGTTCTGCTGTCAAAAACTTCAGGAAAAACTCCCAGCAGAATCCCTGGATTTTACTACCAAGCTTCCAAGAGTGTTATCTGTATACATCTTTTCTTTCCTGGATCCCCGAAGCCTTTGTCGTTGTGCACAGGTAAAGGCAAAGAGATAGCTTGTGACCTTTTCTAGGGGTGGCCTTAGCAAACTCTGGAACTTAAATAATGTAAGGAAACACACACACACACACACACACACACACACACAACCAAGAAACAGGTGAGATGGTCAGTATGTTTATTCTGTGCAATTTGAATGAACCCCAACTCCTTTGTGCTTAACTCTGTATTTATTACTCACAAGGGGAAAAAAATATAAGACATATCAGTGTTCACAAAACAGTATTACTAGTTGGGGGGATACATGTGGGAGGATTGCTTGAGACTAGGAGTTTGAGACTAGCCTGAGCAAAAGTAAAACCCTTGTTTCTGGCTTGGCGCCTGTGGCTCAAGTGACTAAGGCGCCAGCCATATACACCTAAGGTGGTGGGTTCGAATCCAGCCCGGGCAGCCAAACAACAATGACGGCTGCAACCGAAAAATAGCCGGGTGTTGTGGTGGGTGCCTGTGGTCCCAGCTACTCGGGAGGCTAAGGCAGGAGACTCGCTTGAGGCCAGGAGTTGGAGGTTGCTGTGAGCTGGGATGTCATGGCACTCTACCCAGGGGGACAGCTTGAGGCTCTGTCTCAAAAAAAAAAAAAACAAACCCTTGTTTCTGTAAAAAATAGAAAAATTAGCTGGTAATGGTGGTACGGGCACCTATAGTCCCAGATAGTTGGGAAACTGAGAAAGAAGGATTGCTTGAGCCTAGGAGTTTGAGGCTGCAGTGAGCTATGATGACCTGGGATAACAGAGCAAAACCCTGTCTCAAAAAAAAAGAAAGAAAGAAAGAAAGAAGAATAAAGAAGCAAAAACAAAACAAAACTATAGAACTATCTTATCCGTCCTTGGGGAAAACACCAATTTAAATACCTAGGGCGAAATAAAATCTAAAGGAGGGCGGCACATGTGGCTCAAAGGAGGAGGGCGCTGGCCCCATATACCGGAGATGGTGGGTTCAAACCAGGCCCTGGCCAAAAACTGCAAAAATAAATAAATAAATAAATAAACAAACAAAATAAAATCTAAAGGAGAGGAAGAAAAGAGTGAGAATTGAGAGACTTTTCTCCTCATTCTCTCCCATAAAAACTCTATATCTTTGGTTCAGCTGAAGTGCCTATGGCTCAAAAGGGTAGGGTACCTGTCCCATATGCCGGAGGTGGCAGGTTCAAACCCAGCCCCGGTCAAAAATGGCAAAAACAAAAACAAAAACAAAATAAAAACCAACTCTATCTCTTCATAGAATTCTGAGTCAGCTTACCATATGGAGATTAAGGTGGGTATTGTTTCATTTCATTTCACGTCATCTTTGCAACTCTTACAACTAAGACATAGAATCTCTTGTCTCCCAACTTTATCATGAACTTGATCCTACTTTCCAGTAAGACTTACTCAAAACCTTGGGTAAATTATTATAAATATTGCTGTACACATGGGGTTAGCCATATGCTATGGAAATGGAATGTACGGGACTGACACTTCATGCTTTTTGAAATCCTAAAGGCTCTGTAAGATATGCCATATGGTATCAGTAGCTGTGTTCCACTTATAAAATTTATATTTACTGAAATTATAAGAATGGAGGAAAAAAGAAGCACACAATGAAAAGAATAAATAACATGCAGGCCTGAGTTTGTTTAACCGTCATAAAACTTTCATCTGGCTCTCAAGAATCTTTAGGAAGTTTTTTTTTTTTTTTTGCAGTTTTTGGCCAGGGCTGGGTTTGAACCTGCCACCTCCAGCATATGGGGCTGGCGGCCTACTCCTTTGAGCCACAAGTACCACCAAGAACCTTTAGGAAGTTTTAAGGTCTATCTGAACCTCAGTTTCCTCATCTACTATATGGGAGTAAAAATTATACTTATCTTCTTAGATTGCTATGAAGATTGATTAATAGGTGCTCAATAAATATTAATTGACTGGCCTTTCAGCCAGAGACGCCATCTTCCAGTAATTCACCAAAATGACAAACACAAAGGGAGAGAGGAGAGGCCCCCTCTCTAGGCCTCTCTAGGCCTTTTAGAAAACATGGAGTTGTTCCTTTGGCCACATATATGCGAATCTACAAGAAAGGTGATATTGTAGATAGGAAGGGAATGGGTATTGTTCAAAAAGGCCCCACAGGTGGCACCTGTGGCTCAAGGAGTAGGGTGCCGGCCCCATATGCTGGAGGTGGCGGGTTCAAACCCAGCCCCAGCCAAAACTGCAAAAAAAAAAAAAGCCCCACAAATGTTACCACGGCAGAATTGGAAAAATCTACAGTATCACCCAGCATGTTATTGGCATTGTTGTAAACAAACCAGTTAAGGGCAAGATTCTTGCCAAGAGGATTAATGTTTGTATTGAGCATATTAAGCACTCTAAGAGCCGAGACAGCTTCCTGAAACGTGCAAAGGAAAATGATCAGAGAAAGAAGGAAGCCACAGAGAAAGGGACCTGGGTTCAGCTGAAGCACCAGCCTCCTCCACCCAGAGAAGACCACTTTGTGAGAACCAATGGAAAGGAGCCTGAGCTCCTGGAACCCATTCCCTATGAATTCATGGCATAATAAGCATATAACATGGCACACAGAAGTACCAGTGGAACCCATGTTTTTAGGTGCAAGAACCTATTTATTTCCCATGAGCTCATGGCATAATAGGTGTACAGCACAGCACACAGGGTAACCAACAGATAACAGTGATACAAGGTGCTGGGACCTATTTCCCATGAATTCAAAAGTCAATCAACGCTTTGTCACATTAGCACAGTGCTTCCCTGAACTACTGGAACCTCTTCTCTATGAATTCATGGCATGGTAGATAAAAATAATAGCCTACTGCTACTGTAAAAATGTTTCTTGTTCATTCACTAAGAGTGTGATTTTTTTTCTCCAAAGAAGTATTAAAGCAAATTTTAATGTGTCCTAAAAAACAAACAAACAAAAAAAACATTAATTGATCCTAAGTTTGAATAAGCATTTAAAGTAAATCTTTCTGCTTGGATGGACAGGAAGCACTTCAGGTAGGAGGGAATGATTTACCTTGAGATTTGAAGGAAAAAGGACAAAAAACTTATCTCAGGGGTGGCGCCTGTAACTCAAAGGAGTAGGGTGCCGGCCCCATATGCCAGAGGTGGCGGGTTCAAACCCAGCCCCAGCCAAAAACTGCAAAAAAAAAAAAAAAAAAACCTTATCTCAGGTTCAGGATGACAGCTCAAAACCTAGAGAAAGCGGGTGTGTAAACCAACTAGGTTGTTTTGTTTTGCTTTGTTTAATTGCCTTTTTTTTTTCCCAGGTCTGCTGGCATTGGAAGAACTTAGCTGAGCTGGACCAGCTGTGGATGCTCAAATGTTTACGCTTTAACTGGTACATCAATTTCTCTCCAACTCCTTTTGAGCAGGGCATCTGGAAGAAGCACTATATTCAAATGGTGAAAGAACTTCATGTTACCAAGCCTAAGGTACATTTCAGACAAAAAGCAGCAAGCTTATAAAACCGAGAGCTAAGAATAACTCAAACCAGAAGTTGGGGAAGGGAGGCAATTCAAAGGAAATATACTGTGATTTCAGAATTCTTCTTTTCTGAGACTCGATAGCTGTTTTCAAGATATCCATCTTAGCTGAGAACCCACATCTGACACTCCCAAGCCCCACTTGCACTCAAGATGATGGTTAGGACCACAGAGGGAGGTTCTTCCTCAGGCCAGCTCTCTGATTTCTGTATCTCTGACTCAGACACCAGACAGTTCTGACATGGTGATTCTGCAGGCAGTATGTAGTATTTGCTATTTCTGGGTCTTCAAATTTTACTTTACTAATTCAAATTTTCTATGACTCTACCAGGTGCACTGAAGTTTATTTTCATATCAACTTATAAGGAAAAATTTTCCAATAAATGAGTTATTAGAGAAGGACCTAATAGGCATATTAAAGTTCTTAGTTTTTAATAGCTGGGCGTTGTGGCGGGCACCTGCAGTCCCAGCCACTTGAGAAGCTGAGGCAAGAGAATCGCCTAAGCCCAGGAGTTGGAGGTTGCTGTGAGCTGTGTGATG